CTCACAGCTTGGTAAGGTTAGGCTACTGTGGGCATGTCCCGGGTAGCTATTGTTCACCGTAAATGACCCACGGAAATTCATGAATTTTAACCCCTCAAAAATACTACATGTACCGTATATACCAGGTAGTTCAACCCCCTGCTCTCTGCATAAAATTTTTTTAATAAAAATTTGAACTGTACTCGAGTATACTGTAGTATATGGTAATTTTTTTTATCTAATTATTTTTCAAACTTAAGTTAAGAACTTTCATGGAAAATCAAATTGAATACTACACCTGTATCATAGACACCAACTGTTAATTGCTACACATTATTACAATGGCCTAAAAATTATTAACAAATGGTTTGCAAGTTTTAAATACCATTTACCAGCAATTAAATTCCTGTGTCATATAAATCAATCAACATTAGTGCTTGGATAAAAGCTGACATCTTTTTTGTCGCCAAACTCAAAAGGTTATTTTAAAAAATGAAAATGCCCTCAAATGTACAAAAATACTTAAAATGATTCCAAGAAATTAAAAAATTAGAATAATGTTATCTTGCAATGTTCTTTTATATCCAGTAGGAATTTTCCAATTTGTTATTGCATTGAATTACTAGAAAACACTTTAGATTCTAAATTCTATACACCATTTATGAATAGAAAAATATATGAAGTTCTAATACCACAGAGTAAATGTTTAAAATTCTTTCAGGTATACTTAGAAGGGTTTAAAATCGATCTATCAAAATTATATGAAGCCTTACTTCAGTAAAATGAGGACAATACACAAGATATGAAATAGTACTGTACAGCATTACATAAGAGTGAGGCACAGGCAGGCCCAGTTATACCCAAAACTTACTATCCTTTAGTGCTTATTTATTTACATACAGTAAGATCTTTAATTTCGCGAGTAATATAAACTGGAAAAAATTGCGCCAAATTCAAATTTGCCTAATGCAAATACATAAACTAATGGGAAAAATAACAATATAGACTGGCCACTCTAAATCAACCTCTGATTTTCCCATTTATAACCTCCAAATTTTACAAATTCTGCCTTTACTGACCTGATTGTGCTTTCCGGAAAACCAGTAATCTTTCTTTACCTCACTAGTTTTTATGCCTTCCTCAAGTAACTTAATCACACACTGCTTATCCTGCATCGAGTACTTGGCAAACTTAATTCCCTTATGATAGTCCCGCTTCTCCTTTTCCTTATTGGCCGCTTAGGTGGGTCTGTCCCACCCCCACCAGCACCAGTAGGAACCCCATTAGAGGTAGAGGCCATTATCTTGACTCGATAGGTGGTGGGACCACCAAAAAAAAAGCTAACAATAGCAGCCTGGGCGGTTGGTAGGATGGCGCGGGAGTAACTGGTATGAGGGCTGTGACGTCATACAAGACTGTGGCCAGCTGTTCTGTCTCGTGTCCCGTGAAATGATTGCCAAATGGCAACCCAGTATTTATTTATTATACTTATAATTATATTTATTTACTGTATTCTTCACATATACTGGTGCAGTATAAAGGCGACATAGTTCATCCGGGCAGTCATGAAACTGACTCAAGAGAAGTGTGGTTGCTACCTGTATGCCCTGACGTCACATGGGGGGAGGGAGAGTGCGGCTGGCCAGTTACCCAAAAACATACTTATGCTGCAACATAAAATATTACAGCGTCCAGCTGACTGGATCACGCTAAACTCACGATATTTTATGCCAAATATAAGACTTGGTTACATTAGGTAGTGCTCGCAAAATTCAAAAACGCGAAATATGAGATCTTACTGTAATTATAAACAAACTTAACCATGAATAAACTATCTAAAATTATCTTTTACTGAAGAAAAAAATCTACTTTGCATACTTAGGTGAAGAGACAGCAATATGCAAAAAATTATTTGCTGAAGTATATGTATGGCTTTACCACTGATCACATAAGTTTGGACTTGTCTGTTTCATTTTAATTTTTAATAATTACATTATTAACAGTAACTTTTCATATATATATATGTATGTATGTCTTCATATTTGTTTATTTAAAATGTTCCTCGAATACCAAAGAATCATATCATGTAACACGTAAAACAACATAGACAGTACATCAAATGAAATACTAGCAATCATTTACTGTATATAGTAAATTTTAGTAAGTTTTGGCTTTTGGTGAATCTGTTGAACAGCTTAGGAGCATACAGTATGTACAGTGTCCTTGCAAAAGGTAGAGATGTACAACATTCAACAACTGTAATTCTTTTAACCCTTATACCCCGGGCAATGTAACAATTGCCGGAACCCCACATTGGCATATTTTGAAAAAAAAAAAAAGAATCTACAGTCAAAAACTGGTATTTCAGGCATAAAATTAGTGCAGTCACTCCAAGCGTAATGTTGTGGCTGGCGTATATATGATCCCCTACGTGTATGACCACCGTGGTGCCCACAACCTCTCTGAGGGGGTGGCTGGCAGGGTGGGGAGGGGAGTGAGCGCCATTGTCTGTATCAATGTCTTCCCCGCTGGCCGCCTCAACAAACTCCACATCATCTGGGTCTGTTTCCTCCCTCTCACTGTCTTTGTCACCTGATACTATATGAATGCCACTCAGTTCAAGCAACTCTTGAAGAATAACACTACAGTACTGTCGAGGGTGTGGAGGAGCAAGGTGGATCACGAGACAATAAAGGATGTGCATCCATGATGATAGCTGGTGGGTAACTTTACCACTTGACTTGACACAAAGATGACATGAGAGTTGAGTTGCCAAGTAAATAAATATCCTACACAAAGTACTTCGTCCTGCCTGAACATCATTCAAACTATTCCTCGAAAATTAAGGACATAAGAGGAACGTCTCATGGGGTTGCTATGGTGGACGTACAGGAACGTCACCCGGGCTATAAGGGTTAAGAAACAAGGAATCCTGAATATGCTATGAGGTAGCTAATGCATGTCTATCCTCACCTGTTGTGGTCAAATTTTTTTCAATTCCTACATATTACAGTAATTTCTTAATCTCCATTTATGAGGTCATCTGCCTTGATCATGAAAGGTACTTCCTGTATTAATCTGTCTTCATAGTGAGAGACAGTTCTCTATACGTATTAATGCGTCTCAATCATGAGATAATTTTGTCCAAACTTGCCTTGATTCTATGAGGTATTTTTCTGTATATGCAGCAACGTGCCTTGTTCATAAGAAGTACTTTGCTATCTTATCCTGCTTCATCATAAGAGGTACTTCTCAGTCCTAAATTGCCTGGATCCTAAGAGGCCTCAGTAGTGTACAGTATTGGCCAGCACATCAGTGTGCCGGTCTGCTGGCCTGTGCTCAATACCAGGATCCCACCAAGCAGGTTCCCATGCTAGTTCTGGTCAAATGGTGAGGGATAGGGGTTGCATGTTACCTATGTACCAGGTACCTCTCTTTGCTATACTATCCTGCTGTATCACAAGAGGGCCTTCTCCCTCCTACATCATAAGAGGTAGTTCTTAGTATCATCTTCATTATCTAAAGATGTACATCTCTGTACTACCAAATAAGTTTTTTCCTAGCCCTAAACTGCCTAGATCATAATAACCATTTCTTCATACCAATCAGTTTTATCTCAGGAGACACTTTTCTCTCCTAACTTGTCTACACCTTATAAGGTACTTCTATTATCCTCCTTCATCTGAAGATGTACTTTTCAGTCCTAATGCATGTACACCAGAAGTACTTATCCTTACTAAGCTGCCCTGATCATTTGAGGTTCTTCTTTATATAAAACTTCCTTACTACATGAGCTACTTATCTGTACTAACCAGCCTCATCATATGTACAGTATTTCTTTGTCATATCCTGCCAGGATCATGAGAGGACTTCTTTGCCTTTATTCACTCGCGAATTAATAAAGGTCCTCCTATTCTCCATGACATGTAAAGCTACCCATAGAGTAGTCAAGTAATATTATAATTTGATTTTCTCTCTTTTTCTCAGGCATGTCTCGAAGCTAGGAGGACAAGGCAAGCAATGTAACTCTGTTGCCTTGGCTAACTTGTAACAAAAAAAAAAATGCCATTAGTGAGTTAGTAAGTCTCCCACACGAGCAGAAACCAGACCAAGTCTTCTCATCCCCACTAAAATTTGTGTCACCATGGCATGATGAATGAGGTTATGAATTCTTTAAGTCTGACTTCTATCTGAGTATAAAACTGATGTCAACACTCGCCAATAACAATTGTTAATCATGCAACACAGTAACGTGAGTCAACCACACCATTTTCTTGCCTGTTGGTCCCTGTACTGGGAATGGCCTCATTCTGCAGTAGCCTGAAATGTCTGGAATATATAGCATATATACTGTATGTATAACATGGCAACACTCAGTTTCAGGTCACCTCTTCCTATGAAAAACAAAGGCTGCTCAGTGATCAGTTGAAGGAAGCATGAGTGGTGTAATGGACACCAGTAAGTACACTGAACCAGCAAGGTCTTCTTCTGTTGGAGTCTAAAGCAGTTTAAAACCTTTCATTTCAGTTCAAAATCTATAATTTCGATCACACACACACACACACACACAATCCATTTAATCTTTTAATCTTAAACATTTGTAGTATAAAACAGTTGTTTATCAATATTAATCTTAAACTCTTGATACTAAATGACCTTAACCAAAACCTTTACATGAAAAGTGAGAACCATGATTGTTATTTCAACTCAACTTTAAGTTCAGCATTGCTTGTTTGAGGCTCAGGATTTACAACCAACTCTCATAGTGATTAACTTAAGTAGAGAACACCCAATATATATATATATATATATATATATATATATATATATATATATATATATATATATATATATATATATATATATATATATATATATATATATATATATATATATATATATATATATATATATATATATATATATATATATATATATATATATATATATATATATATATCATTATGATAAAATTTTGAAATATAATTACATTTTTGACCAAACATACCTGAAAGAAAGATTAAATTCAGATATACTGTACTGTAACTAGGAAAAAATTTAAATCGGTATTTCAAAGTAATATTTGTTGATAAAAAAATATGATGAACCATACAGCTGGTTCTAAATATATTAATATCAGATATACTGTACTGTATTTAACCAAATTTCATCAGATATTTTTGTCTAAACCTTTGATCCTGAATTTCATACATGGATCGGAATATATTATTCTCTAAGCCATTAGTAGTTTTTCTTCTATCTTAATACTATCTGTGTATGATACAATATTTACATGAGATATATATACTATACCATATGAGGGAACGGATTTTTTTAAACACTGACTCTCAATAGATACGAACTCTCTGTCTAGTAAATGTATAGCAAACAATGCAAGGGTTTCTCTACACACCATTCTTGTTCATAAAATTCTGAGTGAAATTGTTAGACTCAGCCTCTGGAGTATTTTTGACTACACAGATGACTTGTGATAAAGAAACTCCTGCACTGATTTAGGTAGGTGAAAAAAAATACTTGTTCATGTGCTTCTATGAAGGTGGGACGAATAGGCTTTATACAAACCTTCATATACTGTACCGTCCTTCTGACCTGTACAGGTGTGCTATCTATGGTTATCCAAAATATATTTCAATTGTGTTGAGTTTTCAGGAACATTTAAAAGAATATATGTCATTATGCAATAGCAATACATATAAAATCTTGAATAAAAATAGTCTTAGACTATTCATTATCTTACAAAAGGGCAGCTTGATATTAATGGGCCTTCATCAGCTATCCTGCAGATGTTTCCATTACCTTGATACACTTTACTTTGGAAAAGAGAAATAATAGAAATTCACCAACAGCTGTAGCTATTGGAAAATCTTTTATAACATGTACAACAAAACTAAACATTTGAAAATACTTTAGAATGGAGATTTAAAAAAAGTTGCTCGTGGAGAACTCACAGAGCTCTTCACAATATATTCATCTTGTGCTGTAGACACTGCATGATGCCTCAGACGCTGCATGAAGGAGACTCAGTAGGATAACAACAGGAAACAATTGGGTGCTGACGTGAGGGGTTGTGCTGCTGCTGGCTACTGTACACTCACCTAAAATATACACAATTCTTAATGTGAACTTGTTATGAAACACAAAAACTAACTTTATAATGTAAAGAGCATTAATGAGTAACATATTACTGTACTTTACTTGGCAAAGGATGATATAATAAAATACAGTAGGTACTGTACTTTATCATTTAGTTCAATCGAGAGATGTTGAATGTCACTGATATATAATGATCTTTCACATGAACGAATACTCATACTGTATTTATCTTCTTAGTTGTGACATATGAAACCATATAAGGATTAATTGCTGAAAAACAAGCATTTGTAACATTAATTCCTTCTGGTGGACACACACACACACACATACACACACACCATGTTAATAGCAGTAATCATATCAATAAGCTCTAATATGCAACTACTGTATTGTTTTTGCCAAATAGGCCCCATCTACACCACCAACTATCACCAACTATCACCAACCATCTACACCATCAACTATCACCAACCATCTACACCATCAACTATCACCAACCATCTACACCATCAACTATCACCAACCATCTACACCATCAACTACCACCAACCATCTACACCATCAACTATCACCAACCATCTACACTACCTACACCACCAACCGCCTACACATAAGGTCGCTAAATGTGAAAAAAGTGGACATTCTGTGAAAAGTGGACGAAGGAGAGTATGAGGCATTAAAAATTCTAATGTGCAATGAGTGCAGAAGGTGAGTACATAAGAAGTACAGTGGAGTGGGTGACAAACTGTGGGATGTTGCTGACTTAAAAGTGTTCTGTATGCACAGGTAACCATTATGAAGCAAGTTTGCTGATCACTGATATGAATATTTACAAACATATTCAAAACATAAAACTTTTTCTTAATAAAGAATATTTAATTTTGACCTATTTTTGTTTGTAATTGAGCTTGAAATATTGATGCATGTTTTACAACAAACAATGCATCAATAGACGCAAAATACATTATCAATGCTCTAAAGTCTAAAGTATGATTTAAGAAGGATGAAGATATAGATGAGTGAATGATATTAAACTGTCATTTGAGGAACATATACACGTTGAAGAAAACTATATGAACCATATAAACTTTCATCCTCTTCACCACAGATCAGCTCGTTAACTGCTTGGGCGATCGGTCAGGTCTCTGTTACGCACTGTTGGCAAGTACTGGGCATGCACTGGCATTTGAATGTATCTGAACCTGCTCCAGAGTGTGTTGTGATGACGCTCGGTGTCATCACAACATGTTCTGGCAGGTTGTTCCACGAATTCACAACCCTCACTCCGATAAAGTTTGCCCTCACGGTTTTCTTGACTTGTGGCTTTTTTAACCTTGAGCTGTGACCCCTTGTGAAGTGGGCGTCTGCCAGCTCTAAGTATGGACACGGAACTGAGTAGTGCCCTCTGGATGTTTATACACCTCCATTAGGTCATCGCTTACCCGTCTGTAGCATAAGCTAGGCAGCTGTAGGCGCTCTAATCTCTCTGGATAACTGAGGTGCTGTAGTGCAGGTACCAGAACATTGTGCCAACTTTCAACAATTTTGTTTTGTTGATATGTTTTGTGAATACATTAGTTGGGGAAAAATTTTCTGTGGTTCATCTCCAGCTTTCATTATACAGTATCAGCTTAAAGATATTTTTACTTCTCTTCATAATGAAAGACCTCAATCTTTTTAAGATGCATCTTTTTGTTTGACAGATTATTCATATGATTCATCAGTGGAGAACAGAGAAATAAAGAAAGAGAGAAATCTAAGTGGAAAGTATGAACAAACTGACTGTAAAAGTTGTTTACAATGAAGGAGTGGTACCTCTCTTGGGCTGTGAGGTAAGGTAATAGTAGCTCACATGGGAGAGGTGTTAATCAATTGAACGAATTTACCTAATGGCCACTCACCAGAGGTGGCCATGCCAAGGGAAAGAGGCCATGGTTAGTGGCTGGCTATCCTGGGCTGTGTGGCTAGTGATAAGAGTAACTGGCATGGAGGAAGTTGTACCTACCCTGGGCTGTGAGATTGAAACTGAGGGTAGTGGTTGGGGGCACGTGGCGACGGGGGCAAGAGTGCGCATGTGCTGTTACTTGAAGAATCCTGCTGTTATTATTGCTGTTATTGCTGGACCTGCTACTGTAAGAATGCTTGCTGTTGGTGATGGAGGTTGCTGTCAGACAGAGGCGGTGAGAGGGACGATCGTGAGGCGAGGCTACCACAAACATTGAATCTCCCTCTGCCCAGTGACCATGACACACAAAAGCTGTGGAAAGACAATAAATTGTGATGCCAAAGTAAATTCTCTTCCAAATTCTCCCTCATTGGAGAATGTGTGTGTACTGTGTGAGTCATGACTAACAGTATTATAAAACAAACACAGTATTGTAATTTGTATTACTGTGAGCATCCCATCCAAGTACAAGGATTCAACTCTTGACTAAAATATCAGGTAAGAGAGGCTTTAATCTGGCCTTCTGGGTCTGTAACATAAAAAGAAACTTACCTAATGTTTAGTCTAGTTCTTTCATATACTGTACCCTTGTAGTTTTATTGTACAGCACTGTACTTTATTAAACAGGCAGTATCCCTAGATTTATAATAATTATATTTAACAATAGCAGAAAGTTTACACCATCACTTCTAATGGGTATGTATGATATTTTATGATGTTTCCCAAATTATATGTAATCTTTTGAGGGTGGAAAACATATAATTACTCATTAAATCAAAATGTAATGAATATTACATATACAGCTCCTCCCCGACTTACGACCACCCGCACTTACGACCTGCCTCAGTCGTACCAAAATTTTGTCAAATTACGTATTTTCGAGCCCCAACGTTAGTACACAGACAAAACTTTTTTTGTAATTCACTTTAAAATGGCTGGCAAGCTTACGGTAAAAGTGAGAGTTTTGTGGTGCTGAGAAGAAAAAGAGACACCCATTTTAGATTTTCTATGTATTATTTAAGCCTTTTCGACTTACGACCTGGATTTGGGTCCCTAACCACGTCGTAAGTCGGGGAGGAGCTGTAGAGTACAGGTAAATCTTGATAAATGATGTCCTGATCAGCGATATTCCAATTTAACGATGGTCATGAATTAAGATAATCTCACTATACACAATAAAAAAAATTCACTTTAACAATGTCCATCAATACCCATTGGTTGGATTTTTTTTTAATCTATAGTGCAAACTATGGGTTGTATATACAAAAATTAATTGTTGTTGTGCACGGATTCCAGCAATGCAAATTATATTTTTATATGTCAAGTCAGTGACATTTTATAAGGAAACAATATTTAACCCTATGCACCACCATAGGGAATGCATCTCTCACTGCACTTATCAGCCACAACAATATCTACCCGTGTGCTGCCACACGGCCCACCCGTGTACTACAGTCCTGCGCTTGGTTCTACAGTATGTTGATCAAATCTGCCAGTCATCGCGTAGCTCCACGATTATTGTTCAGCATCATTGGCTGTATAGTATGTACATTGTAATTATCATAGGTGTTTTTTCTTATAGTGAGAGGACAGCACAAACAATTAGACTGAACTGTGTTATGGTGACTGTGAACTGATGTTTTCTGTGTTTTTGTGATTGTAAAGTGCTTCACCTCTGTTTTCGTGAACATGTGATCTGTTTCTATAGAGTCTCCACTTCACATACAAATGTCCCCTTAGCCTCGAAGGGGTCAGGTGATGATGACCAGGCTTGTTTTTTTATGATTTGGTGAGTGTTGCTTAAATGTTTTCTATTGATTTTATGAGTGTAGGAATATTTTGTCGGTGATGCACGTGTGTTTGGGGACTGGCTGGGAAATTATCCCATTGAACCCCATGTTAAAATGATCCTAATCAACAATATTTCATTAAGCGATGGGTTTTTATGGAACTTAACCCCATTGTTTATCAAAGTTTACCAATTGTAAAACCTCGATAAATGGGGAAGATTAATAAACATATCTTATGGAAAGAACTCCATTTACTGAATACTGTACAGTGGTCTAATCAGATTTGCTATAGGCCCACTGAAAGCAAAGACACTTGAGTATGTAAGCAGGCTGGGGCTGATCAGGTGTTCATTTATTTATTGATTCAGTACAGTATTATATTCTCATATGATTGGTCTCTTTTGGTTTATGGTTCATCATGATTAATATAACATCCTCAGTAATAGAGAAAAAATACAATACTGTATGTAATTGGGTTCTCAAGTAAGGGTGGTAACTCAAGGGAAGGGTGTCGACTCAAGTACGGACAGAAATCAAGTAAGGGCAGTAACTCAAAGTGAGGGTGGCATCTCAAAGTTAGGGTGACAACTCAAAGTAAGGGTGGTAACTCAAATGGGCAGTGACTCAAACAACTGTAGTACTCAAAGTAAGGGTTGTAAATCAAATGGGCATTAACTCAAATAAGAGTGGTAACTCGAGTAAGGGTGGTAACTCATGTAAGGGTGTCAACTCAAGTATGGGGAGCAGCACAGGTAAAGGCAGCAAAGATGGTGAATCAGCCTATCATGTGATTTCATAAAATAACCTTAACTACTTTAACCTATAAAGCATTACTTCAGGACTACTGTATGTATATGGGAAGTGCTGGGCCATGTTTCTGAGAGCTTTGTGATGAGAATTTCTTGACTTCCATCTAGTTGTCTAACATTGGTACTTCCTCTGGCTACAACAATTTGTTGGTATACTGTACCTCCTATTTACTTATATCCTCTTCGCCACTGATCAGCTCGCTAGCCGCCCGGGCAATCGGTCACGTCTCTAATTACTTTTTCTTTTCATTTATCTTCTTCACCAAAAGATCGGCTCACTAGCCGCCCGGGCGATCGGTCACATCTCTGTCACGCACTGTTGGCAAGTACTGGGCATGTACCGGCTACTGAATGAACTTGAACCCGCTCCAGTGTTGGTCAAGTCTTGTCTTGAAAGAGCTCACACTCGGTGCCGTCACAACACTTTCTGGTCGATTGTTCCAGGAGTTTACAACCCTCACTCCGAAAAAATTTGCTCTCACAGTTTTCTGGACTTGCGGCTTCTTCAATCTTGAGCTGTGACCCATTGTGGGGCGAGCGTCCGCCAGCTCCAAGTAAGGACACTCGACTGAGTAGTGCCCCCTGAGATGCTTATACACCTCAACTAGGTCACCCCTTGCCCGTCTGTAGTATAAACTAGGCAAGTTCAGGCGCTCCAATCTCTCAGGGTAGCTGAGGAGCCAAAGTGCAGGCACCAGTCTGGTGGCCATTGTAGTTAATATATCTGAGAAAAACTTATGAGAGAAATGCACAGCTTATGTAACATATTATAAGTATGGGTACAGTACAGTATTACTCACAGTGTTTGGTGGTCTCAGTGGAACACGCATGAACAAACTGTAAGGCGTGGAGGGCACCACATCCTGCTCTTAGGTGAGTTACATCACGACCACACTCCCCTTTGCCTGCAGTCCACACGCCGACAATTGGACATGCTCGACGGGAAGGAGAACCACCTGTTAGAAAAATAGGTACAGTACAGTACTGAACTTTAGTGAAAATCTTGTAAATGCTGACATGCTCAATAATTCTGATAAAGCTCTTAGAGATGTGTTGCACACGTAGAATGAAAGATATTTTTACAATAAATAATTTTTACCGAGTTTAGATAATCTGTTTTTCTGAATTATGCTTTATTTTGTAGAATGAATGTCAATGAACTTCATTGCGCACATTCTTTCAATCTGAAAGGACAGTTTTGTTTTTACTGACAATACCAATTTAACCAAAGTCAAGACTACTGTCTAGGTGAAATATATTTATAGCTGAAAATATGCATTACAATATTAATAATATTTTGAGAAGAGTATAGAGTATTCAAGAAGATAATTATGGATTACACTATCTAAGAGTGAAGAAATGGAGCCTTACCAGGAACAATGACATGGTGTTAGAAAGATAATAAGAGGTAGAAAGAAAAGCTAACTGAAAGTTTAACACAACCACCATTTGTTTAGACAATGGCTGTGTGGTCTCAAGCTTTGTCATAACAATGCAACCCAGTGGGAATGTTTCCTCTGCCAACCCTTAGCAATGGGACTCTCACACTCTATTCCTCTCTCCAGCTCTCGCACATAAAGAAATATTTATTCCCTTTATGTAACTGACCTTATGATAGTTATTTGTTTTTTAAATTTCTTGCATATTAATGTAGGAGTGTGTGTGTATATATAACTGAGTAAAAAAATATTAAGAAAGTAATGTATATCTACCTGAAATTACGATTTGAAAAACAACCGTAACATAGCTCACACCTCAGCCTGGTAGGGAGAGGCAAAGGGGATGTGGCCACCCCAGTTGACTCCCAAGGGTACACTATTTGAATTTTTGCTTGGACCAATATTCGTATAAGCAGGGGAAGCTTTCGTTAAATGAAAGAGGTTTTAATTTAGAAAATTTGTACTGTACAAGCAAATTTTCGTATCTTGAACAATCGTTAAGCAAGGGATACCTGTACACTTTTCTGAGAACATAAAAGTGTGCATCAAAGTGTGTCAAACTGTCTTTCCTCAAATGCAAGTAGACTGTTCGCTTCCTCTCTTGTGAACACTGAGGAAAAGAATTTGTTTAATACCTCCGCTTTGTCCTTATTTGAGTATGCGTAACTTCCACCTTCAAGCCTCAGACCTGATAAGCCCACATTTGTCTTTATTTTTTATTTTGCGTAATGGTAGAGAGCCCTTGGGTTTGACTTGACTTCGCTTGCAATCCATCTCTGGAACTCTTTTTCTACACTCAGACTTATCTTGGGTGCTCCATCCAGTGTTAGTACAGGAGGAAACTGAGGACCGGGTAACCTGTCAGGGTCACATGTGTCTGGGCCGAAGCTTGAACCCTTGACATATTAGTGAGTTACGCACATTAACACTGTACCACCAACACCCCTGTTCCATGTTCACCTTCCCAGCAATCCCCACATTCACCACCATCTTACCACATCACCACCTTGAGCAAAGACCATCTAAGTTTCTCACAAGTAGAATGCATTTAAATTTTGATTGAACAAATTAGTACAGGTATTGCATATACTGTACTGTACAATTATAATTACAGGTGTACTATCATCTTTTTTCTGTAGAAAAATACAGTACTGTACTTCCCAATTTAAAATGATAGTCATTGGGAAAGCCCACTTCAATTTATCGATTTTTTATTTATGAACTGTTTTGAGGAGCTTAACTAATTAATACTAAGTAAATGGAAGTCAACCTGTAGCTACCTTGTCCAAGTGAGTGAGTTTAGAAATTTTCTTTCTTTTTATCTTTTTAGCCATGTCTCCATATACTGAACCTCACTTTTCTCTCTCCCTCTTAAACCTCAAATCTCTATTTCTCTCACTTACTTGTGAGGGTCGTGTGGGGAGCACTGGAAGCATTGAAGAACATAGGATGACAGGCATCAACAGCTCTGATGGCACGTGAACCTGTGTGAGAGATGACTACCCTGTAATGCTCTTAACAATAAACATGACTATATAGGTAAAAGTTACCCATACCTAAATGTTACACATCACTGACCAAAACACCAACTTCATTTGATCAATGGGTTGAAACAGAATGAAGTTGTTATGGGAGTTAACATTATTATCCTAGAAAATACAGTACATCATAAATATAGGTATATTTCAAAATATCTGTACTCACAATAAATTAGCCCTTAAGGGGAGCATCCGGCTGAATCACGAATTTCGTAATAATTGATCAATCAATATCAATTTTCTGTCAGCAATTAAGGACACCAGATACATTGTTACTATACCAACTACCACCATGACACCTCTACTCCCTCTCCCACCTGCATCACCCACTCATGGCAACAGAATACATCACCTATCAGCCAATCAAAATCCTGTAGCCTGTGTGTGGACTGCTCAAGATTTCTCCAGGGTTCCATTTCTGCCTATTGTCTGCTCACTAAGGCTAAGTGATCTTTGCGTATTGTTCTTCTATCGTCTAAGTGAAATATTCAGCCTTAGTTGATACTAGTTCTTGTCAGTGATCATCATCATTATGCCTTATTTATTAGGAATACCAGTAACAGGTCAGACTCTTACTTATGGTCTGTTATGAGCACCATTACACCAATCCTCTAATTCTTGTGTCTACTTTTGTCATCCTTTACCCCTTTAAATTCTTGTGCTTTTGAATATACCTGGCATAGGACTGGCGTTTTGTCATGACCTGGCCTATCCATTGTTTCCCTTTTCCCTTTGTGATTTCATCAAGATTTATCTTATTCACGTTTCCACGAAAATAACTGTTGATGCATGTTTAACTATCCTCCCTATATCTAATATCTAAAGAATTACCCACTACAGTGTATTACTTTTCTGATGCCTAAATTAACTATGAACAAACTACAACTACAGTTCTGAGTAAACCTTAAACTACTGACTACAAGTTTCTAGTACATGATAGTGCATATGTGCGAGTGACAAATTTACTTATGCCTTTTTTTTGGTGTGTGTTATTGAATGGGTGCATAAGCATGCATATATGTGTGAGTCTATGTACATAAGTGTGAGCATTATTTTAATAAGAACCACAAACACAATAAGACTTACCTTGCTGCATCTCAATAATATGCCCTTCCCTCCGGTAGAGCACTGTGCACACATAGCCACTGGAGCTGCAATGTATCATAAAATGAGTCACAGAGTTACCTCTGTTACATAAATGATCAATGATTTCATTTGAAAAGAAAGTTTATCTTATTCAAGAACTACTTTGTATATGTTGGGCTTATTGTAATAACTTCTTACATGGTATAGTGTATTGTATTTACAATAATAATTTACAGTTTCATAACCAAATGTTGACAACTAAGACATTGATTCATTGGTTCCCTCTTCTTAACATGAAAACCAACCCTATTTCTTGCCTATAGAAACACTCCCTGGAAAATTTCAGAAACCCACAAAATTTGGATCCCGTCTCTCTGTTAGTTCAGTTAACAAGAGTTTATATAGGGTACTGTATATAATTTCCAAGGGGGGGGGGGCACCAGTGTTTGCAGTGCTTCATCTTTTAGTTCACTAATGTGTTTCTTTGTTATCTGTAGACTTAATATGATATTGGTCATTTTCTCAAGCTATTGTACTGTTCACATGTAATATTTCTTTGAAAAGTGTGATTTCCTCTTGCTATTTGCACCATTAAATCTTGGTATTAATTTTTGGGACCATTCTTAGAGCAGATAGAGATTGTCCTGCAATGTTGCACAGCCTATTAGAATTTTAATTTCCCTAAATAGCTTAGTGTCATCTGGAAATACTTTTGGAGTCCTTGTCAGATTTAATTGCATGCCCTTTTTTGTGTCATCACCAAATTTCCTTATGTTGCTGTCTACAACTATATCTGTCATTAATGTATAATGTAGTACAGCCTCTCCCCGACTTATGACGGGATTCCGTCTCGACGACCAGGTTGTAAGTCGAATTGGTCGTAAGTCGAAAAGGCGAAAATAATACATAGAAATTCTAAAATGGGTGTCTCTTTTTCTTCTCAGCACCACGAGAACTTTCACTTTTACGCTTGCCAGCCATTTTAAAGGGAATTAAAAACAAAAATTTTGTCAGTACACAGGGCGATCACTAACATCAGGACTCGAAAATACATAATGTGAAAAATATTTCATACGACCATGGCGGTCGTATGTCTGGGTTGTCGTAAGTCGAGGAGAGACTGTACTGTATAATAATTAGCAATGGTCCACTAGTGACATTACCACCAATTGGATTTAGTGCCATTAATGCTGACTGTTTCCTATCCTCTAGCCACGCCCTACTCCAATGCAGAATATCCCCTCCAGTTCCACGAGCCTCCACTTTACATATTAGTCTTCTGTAAGGGACCATGTCAAAGACTTGCTAAAGTAAAGGTAAACCACCACCATAATCATGTCTGTCATCAAATGCCTTGAGAACAGTTGAAAAGAATGCTAATAGATTTGTGAGACATGAATTCCCACTGGTGAAGCCATGCTGGGAATCACTGATCAATTTATTTCTCGAGGTGATTTCCAATAAGTTTGTAACGAATGCTTCCAGTAATTTACGAACAACTGATGTTAAGCCGATTGGATAATACAGGGTAGTTACAGGATGGCGATCTATCTCCTTTCTTTAAAGTCACATACTGTATAAATGCATATACAAAACAGTACTTCTAAGTATAATAACTGGAAAGTGCTTTACTCTTCAGCTGCCATATTAGCATAAATTTTAAAGTGATTGTATTATGGTAATTACAGTAATATAAATTTTTAAAATCCAATTAAATGACCAAAAAATTTGTGTCAATCTATCAGAATGGAGTCCTTCACTTACACTGCTTGAAGAAGTTGTCTTTCCTGCTCCAGATATGAAGAAAGCACAATACTTGCACTTGGCTTTATAGCCACTTTCAGAATATTCAGGTTTCTCATAATGATTATGCACAACTGAAGATTTTGATACAGTACTAACATTCTGGAAGATAATGCAATGCCAACACTTTACTCTGAGAGTCACAGTGTTGTCATAACCAACAAAATCAGCAGTAAATGTTAAAACAATTACTAAGTACAGTATAACATTCCAATTCGTCCAACAAAAATTACAATTACAGTACAATATTGTATTTTCTAGTAGTGGGACAAAATTTCTTATAAACTCTATTTCATCCACACTGTATATTATATTATGCATATAAATTCAGAATATCATAAATATATTGAGAGATATCTGTTCCTTGATGTGTTTCACCCAGCCTTGCTGCTGAGTGAGAATGATTTGCCAGTGTCATGGAACCTACTAATCCAACATTTGTCATTGGAAAACACTGCCAGGCACCTCCCACTCTTCACAATGTCGACCAATGATGTATTTTAAAGAACAACAAGGTAGGGATTAGAGAAACGTTAACTACTTTGAGAATTGGCCAACTCTGTGTCCCATGGCATGGGTGAGGTTCTGCCTCACACTCACTTTTCTCTCAACAATGTCAATTTGTTATGTCGTAATCATGGAATGTAATTAATTACAATTACAGTAATATTCCTCAAAAAATATACTCAATTCCACAGATTACGATTACAACACGTCTGCATCTCACCATCATATTTTGACAGGAAAGCCATTGCTGATACACAGGCACCAGTGATCCTGGCATTTTCCTCTCCCCAGTCTGCCTCACTGGTTCTCGAGGCTGAAGGCATCAGCCAATCAACCTCATGTGTATTAGAGTTAATTATAAGCAAATAACAGTTGATGCATGTTCAACTACCCTCCCCATATCTAAGAATTACTGACTACGGGTATTGCTTTTTTTGATACTTAAATTCACTGGGAACACACTACCTCTTTGCTCATGAGAGGAATTTCTAGATGACATTCTCTAGGTATTCCTTGGAAGTTCTGAGTAAATCTTAAATTTCTAACTAGAAGTTTCTAATACATGACAATATTTTGAATACAGTAATCTGTGCATAGTGCATGCATGCATACATACATACACACATAGCAGATGGTGTAACATATGTATTACCATCCTGTAGTAAGGTGGGTGACAAGGACCACTCTGGAGGCCGATGTATCTCGCTGCTGGGAACACACTAAACGAGCTTCAGTGCCAGCATAGCTCACTTTCGTCCGTTCTGTGTCTCCTGCAGGAGAGGCAGAGTCTGGTGAGAGAATGTCTATGATCAAGGCTCTGTGCCTCTCAAAATAAGGATAGAGTTTGGTTAGTAGAGAATGTTTATGATGACTGCTGTGTCTCATACAAGAAAGGTAGAGCCTGGTTTGCAGAGAATATACATTACTACCTCACCTAATACTCAGGATGCATTCCTGGACAAGCAAACAAAAGGTGAATCTTTCACTAAAATGGTGTATGTACGGCAGTTCTTTTCCGATAGCATTATTTCATGCATATAAATGATATGAGGGCTTCATCTGAGTATCAGTAATAGTGCTAATAATAATACAGAAGTGATCTGTTTGTCAGGAATGCATCCTGATCGCTAAACGACACATCCTTGTATGTGGGAAGTGAATGTCTATTGAGGCGGTGGGTTACTGGGCTATAACTGCATGTCTGTGCTCCCTACCAATGTGACATCACAGCAAACATGTCTATGAGTCATCTGGGTGATTGCCTGGCTGAACTGTGTTGCATCGCTCAGAGGATGGTTTGAGTGTGGACGGAGCTATTTTTTGTACAGGTACATAAAATATGTGCTATTGTATTTTATGATATGCTATGAATTGATTTCATTGTTTTTCATAGTAATAAATATGGCAGCTAATCCCCGTTGCGTGCAGTATTCAAATTTACAATTCTAGCCGAATTTGGAGCAAATTTTTATTATTATTTCATTTTGGTGCTGGTTAGTTGAATCTACTGGTTGCCAGGATACCGGGTAACTGGGATTATAATAAATTCCTATTTTGTTGAATCATTTTCTCTGTTGTCTATTACCTAAGAAATATCAATGTACTTTTCATTCAACAGTTATTCCTGATTCTGTCTTTAATAAATGCAATAGTCATTTATTCCCCAAACTTCTCAACTACTCACTATGCCTATTGGGTAACAAATTATATAGTTATTGTATATGTAATAGAAAAAGTCAACTTACCCTCTTCTTCATCCTCCTGACTAAGCCCTAAAGGTGTGGGTTGTGTTCTTGAGTTATGAGCATGGTGAAGACGGAGGGTGGTGTTGTGGTGCGCAACGGAATATGATGCTCCGCGGTCCAAGGCATGCCACCGCCGGTGACTGCTCACCCAAGATGGGAACTCACATCCGCTGTAGCTTCCCACTGCAATGTTATTGACACCAAATAATTACTTTATACATCAACCTAGAAAATCATTCAACTCGTCAAATATCTATTGTCGGGTTTAATAGTTGGTAACCACAGCCCACCACTCACCATAGTTTAAGATTCTCACCAATTCTTTTAGATTTTTTATCTTTTTGTATCTCTGGAGCCCAGCTTATAATTTCATTCATTCACACAAGAATTTTCTGTGAATTTTTTAGAAAATGCGCATGATTTTTAATCTTGGAAAATCGTTCACAAACTTGGAATTGTGAGAAAATTCCGGAAAAATTACGAGCAAATTTCAATTCCGACTACAGGTATTGGAGAGTTCCAACTAAGAAGGGTTCTGGCTTAGAGAGATTCCGGCTAATGGAGATATTTGTACGGTAAAAGGAAATTTGAATTTTTTTTTATATTCATTGTTATATACACAGTGTGTATTTATTTATATATTTTTTTTTTGTCATTTCACCATTTATCAGCTAATTGGCTGTTTTGACTTTGGTTTCAAGTAATCTTTTAGAGTACTACAGTACAATATACTTTTGGCAAGGCCTTACCTTTTTTAATCCTTAGTGTCTTGGATCCATCAAAAGGAGGGAAGACTCCATTACAGGTTGCATCGAATGACTGTGCCAGGTGGTAATCAATGTTAGCCTCATTCTCTCTGGCCCGCTCCCAGCCAAAGCAGCGGTATCGGTCTTCATCAGTGAGGGTCCGGCTAACATCAAGGCGGCCCACAAAGTATCGAGTGGAACCCTCCTTCCAGTGGCCAATGCATTCCACCTCCTCCACTGTTAAAGAGTTAACAGTATTAGAAAAGTTAAGTTGTAAAGAATGAGCTTCAGAGACAATTTACTGTATCTGATAGGATGGCTAATTAAAAAACTGTGGTTAAAACCTTAGAAATTTTCCTTTTTTTTGGTTCAATAGCTATACTGTACTATATTGTATAATGGTGCACCTATCTGGTACAGTATATAATGTACTGCTACTACTACTAGTAAACATACACTACTACTACTTACTACTTTGCTGTCATTCGGAATCGAGTATGACATCATCCAGCGATGATACAATGATACGAGTTATTAAGGATGTCACCTTCGTTGGTGAGTTCTAAGGTGACTTGAGAGGCCGATACAGGGTCGGCTAGGCCGTCCACAGATATTGCATGTGTAGAGGGCTACATCTAGTGTGGGAGGGACGGCGGCAGTGTCTTTCCGGCGGTGGGTCTTGTCTGTCTCAGTATGCAGTCAGGCTAACTTGAAAGTATTGACACCTTCTCGTGTGGTGCTCCTCCAAGCGTTTTGGTGTGGAGTAATAGTCTCCCAGGTGAGGAGATCGATTAGTCACTTTTTCAGGTTTGTCTTAAGAATATCCTTATACCATTTCTGTTGCCCGCCAAAGTTACGTTTACTATTTGTTAGATGACTGTAAAGTTGCTGCTTTGGCAGTCTAAAGTCGTCCATGCAGGTAACATGGCCAGTCCAATGTAGTTGTTAATGGATAATGGTAGCCTCGATGTTCCTAACTACAGTTGGTGTCAGCAAGAATACTGTACTGGCATTTGTTCTCTTGTCTTCTCAGCAAACTTGAGGTTCCTCCTGTATGTGACCCATGTGGGGAGGACCACCGCTTGATATATGTGCAATTTAGTAGATAATTTCAGCTCCTTACAGCTGAAGACATGGGTATGGAGTCTGCCAAAGGCTTGAGATGCACGTCTGATCCGATGTTGAATCTCTTCATTAATGTCTGCGGTGGTGGACAGGTAGAAGCCAAGGTACTGAAAATGTGTAACATTAGAGAGAATAATAGTACAGTTCTGTTAAGCTGGATGGATGATGAAGGTGTGGTTGAACCAGGGGCAGGCTGAAAGAGAATCTGAGTCTTACATGCATTCTCAATGCTGAAGTGTGCATACGCATCTGCGTAGGTGTTTAGGATCTCCTGCAAGTCGTGTTCAGTGTGAGTGACAAGGGTGAGATCATCTGCATACTGAAGTTCAGCGATGGAAGCAGCTGACACCTTTGTCCCTTCATCCGGTACTGGATGTCCACTTCGTCGGTTAAATTGGCACTGACACGAGTAAGGAAGGCAGCCAAGAAAATGGACTGGGCAGCTGCTTTTTTTTCTCATGGAAGGTATCAGCTTTGGTCCAAGACTTAGGGCTGTTCTGCCAGTCAGTGAGAGTAGAAAGTTAACTATAGACGAGTACTACGATTTCTGGGGCGTTTTCATCAAACTAATCCTGGTGTTTTCTTTTGATCTGGCTGAGGGTTTTGTTGCAGGTTTTTGTGATGACAGCTTTGGTGGGATACAATTTGGCACCCAAATTTTGGTTGTTTGTTGTTGAGTTGTTTATCGGCCCATCATTGAGCTGCTCTCTGAAAGCATGTGAAACCACTGGATCCTCTAGTCGCTTGGTGTTAAAAGCCCCTTCTGGAGGCTTGTTGCTTTTTCCTTTTTGGGGTGACGTGTAGGGAGAGTTTTGCTCTGACGAGCTGATGATCAGTGTCACAGTGGTCTGAGCCACGCATGGCTCGGGTAATGAGGACATCTTGGTGTAATGACCACGGTCATACACGTCAGTTAACGTAAAATCAGACGATTCATATTATGCTCAATAGCCCACAAAACATGAAGCTATGCTTTCTTATTGTAGTCCCCTATCGGAGGAGTCCGTTTTCTCATCGCTTCAGGACACCTGAGTCCTCCGTTTTCTGTCAATCTTGAATGTACCCGAGACTTCATTATTCCTTAGTAAATCTCGGCGGAAAACAACCCTATAGATTCCCTCCCACTAACAGTTGAGAGCAGCAACCAAACCTTCCTAACCTTACCCCACAACATTAAATATCTCGGTTCTAGGTCGTTTGCAACATCATCGAAGAAAAGTGCCTTAAAATTGTCAAAGATTTTGCTTGCAAATAAAAAATCACGAGATTTGGTTGATAACAGCAAATGCAATAATAGCTTTTTTTTAGTAGGGCTTGGATTTTCAACTCCCAATATCTTGGTTATGAGTATTGTAAAAACTGCCAAAAGTTTCATGGATGAAAATAGTCTTATTTTTGTCTGAACTTATTAGCAACAACAATAATAATAATAATGGTTAATATATAGGACTAACCCACCGGGCTGCATAGCACCGATGCGGCCGTATCATCTCACGTCCAGAAATGCCTCAAATTTCACCATATCATAGTAAGTTATTTCTGTTTAATATACTGAGGAGTACTGGGGGGCAGAGGAAGTTAGGTAAAGTTAGGTAGGTTTGTTTGTTTAGGTTGGTTAGGTCTGTTCTTCATAACCATAAAATATGTTAAGTAGCATTTATTTTAAAAATATCAATTTTTTAACATATTTCCACAAACTACAACATTGTCCACTATAAAATATCAATGAAAATCCGGCGTTTTTATGATTGTTTTCAATCAATTTCGCCTGCGGGTTAGTCCTATATAATTACCATAATAATAATAAATCCATTATCGAATTATGTCCTCCACTAAAAATTGACCCTGAAGTCTGCCACGTTGCCACTTAGCTGACTTCTGGAGTTGTTATTCGCTTGGGCTCTCTGAATCCCCTAAGTAGCCATTTTTGATTGCCCACTACCCTGTACATAACCACTCACCTGAACTCTCCGTGCCCAGGACATCAGGACATGCTTGATATTTAAAAAGTAGTCGACTGTCGCTGGTACAGGAGTCTATGGTAGAGGCGGGGAAGGTGCACTGGCCATGTCCCCGTGTGTAGCTGAAGGTAAGAGGCCCTTTGAATGGGCAAGGGGCTGGGGGAGAGTCACGACGGAACATAGAGAAAAGCAGAGCATCCCCAGTGATCTGGGAGCAAAGTGCTTTTAGGTCGCGGGATGGCTCACATAGTGCTGGTGGGGTAAGAAAAAAGAACACAATTATGGTGGTGTTTAATACTCAGCTTACAGTTTATGAGGTAATGGTTATTAGTTTAATGACCACGTTAACACTAGCATACATGCTACAGTATAGCCCATACTTGTTTACAATGTGCATCAGAGAACAAACCTACTGTCCCATCAGCTGGTAGTACTGTAGTAAGACGAGTGGAGGACAAGATAAACAGCAAAAACAAAAAACAAATAAAACTACATAACCTAATATTACATGCTATATTTTCATTACATCAACTATTATATATCTGAGATGTCAAATTTAATTATTTATTGGGTGAAGATTTTAGACTCTAAACTGTAGAGAATATAACGTGTGGTAGATGACTGGAACCTCTTGCTTTAGGGAGTTTAGCCTTTTCCCCACTGATCGGATCGGCCTGTTAACAGTGGTTCACCCCCCCCCCCCGAGCAAGGAAGGTAGAGTAACAAAGCTCAACTCCTTTAATTTGTGTGTATTTTTCAGTGCCACCGTTCGTTATGCCATCTAGCGACCAACATAACTAAGGCAGTATTCGTAGAAAATGAAAGATGCCCTATAGCGGGTTAACTATACTAACCTTGATGTATTTATAATCTGGTATTTATATTTATTTATACTTCATTTATTCATTCATGAAGAAAACCGAACCTCAATATCATTTGTAAAACGTCATTCATTCCAAAATAACTGAAATTACTGTTCCTAGTATTTCTTTTCATGGTTAAACACATTTTTTACAAAATTACTATTGTCGGATTGTCGAGTTATAAAGGTAAACAGGAATGTTATAATGCACTTTATTATATCAGGTAACAATAACAAGAAATACAGAAAGAGCCGATTCACCATAATAATCTTATCCATGTATCTAACCTAACATACGTGTAATGCCATCATTCATCACATACAGTATAAACTGTGTTGTCAATATGTACAAGTCATGTATTGTCAGTTAATAAGTGACCTAAAATTTTTTGTTTTATTACTTTAACTGTTAATGCCATTTAAATAAAATGTGACTTTTTCCTGTGACTTTTTCCAAGCAAAAATTGTCACTAATCTGTAGAAATTACATATTATTATTAAAACAAGAGGTCAAGTTTCATAATCTTCCTCAAGCTGAGGCCGATGATTCCTTTAAACATTAATGGAAACACCTCATAGCAGACATGGGGCCGAAGCCATGGTAACTTAAACTAGTAACTACACTTAACTCCTTCATCTTCATGACATAATTATAATCTTACCGGTCTTTAATAATACTTAGGAAAGCGATGGAATTTTAAATGTATGTGACTTTTTTTGTCCTTCCTTCAAACAGCACAACCACGTGGAGCCACTTCCTGTAACTTTGTCTTTGTCACACTGTACGAATCTTGAATGTCCAGCCAGATGACGTCATAATGGTCATATAACAAAACAGTCTTTGTTGCAGACGACACTCAACTAACGCCCTGTTAGTGATTTAATGCTATTTTTTTGGCGGAGCGCAACTGTTTGGGGGAGTCCAGCTTCCTTACTACTCTCCCTTCCTTGCCCCCGAGGCTCCTCATCCCTACACAGGAAACCCTACATTGCCTTCATTACCCTTCGCCTTGGGCTCATTAGTGTGTGTGTGTGTGTGTATATATATATATATATATATATATATATATATATATATATATATACAGAGTGAAAGAGGATTTAAAATGTCCAATGTTTTTGCTTATACAATATGAAATTAAATTTTATGAATATTTCTATGGATATGATTTTATTATTTATTTAATTATTCTTTTAATATGTAGATGGAGGTATACAAAGAACACACTGATATCAGCTAGGTGATTTAATAGTACTTTTAAGGACGATCAAAATCACAAAATGAAATAATTATGCCACAGGGTAGGAAGCTTCTCCTGGAAAATGGACATTCATAAATTTAAATTCAATTAAAATTATTTACTTCTACAAAAAAAAGCCAAAACATCTCACACTAAAAAAATTTCTTAATTTCATACAAATATTTTAGTAATTATACATGGATACATTATGTAGATTATAATGTTCAAGCTTAATTTTCTTTCTTCGGCAATTTTCTACTGTTTTCTTCATAGATTTTGTAATGATAATGTCATTCAGTAATTGTGGACTCATCTTATTTCTCTTTTTGGTCTTTGTGTCAGATGACGTTGAAAAAACTTTCAGTTTTAGCATTTGAGTGGAGTCGGGAGGATAAGTATCGGTTTAGCTAAATATGACAAGTTGTTGAAAACGAGTTTATCTTCACCATTTTTTTTGTACCTCGGATAAAAAAAAAAAAAATTCAATATACTGTATGTTTTATTTATTTTTATTTCTACTACTGTAATTCCTCTCCATTAAAGTAAAGGGCAGCTGTACTGCATGCTCAGAGAACAAACATGATCGGTACAAGCATAGAAAGCAAAGTTTTCTTCGAAAGCTTATTTGGGAAACTGATATGTATGCTATACTATTTAGTTTTCTTTTTAACTGTTTGAGAAATTTACACACTATCTTCTATCGGGAAATCTGAATTGATGACCAGTGAAAAATGCAAGATTAGTACTGGTTACCCCATGTTTTGTCCTCTTTTATTTATATTACCACATGGCCCTACAGTCAACACAACACTGCCATGCATTGCTGACAGGTACGAGGTAATGTGCTGGTTCCAGAATGAACCTGAACCAATTCCAGTGTTGGTCAAGTCTGGTCTTGAAACAGCTCACACTCAGTGCCATCACAACGCTCTTTGGCAGATTGTTCCAAGAGCTCACAACTCTCATTCCGAAAAAGTTTGCTCTGACAATTTTCTGAACTTGTGGCTTCTCAACCTTAACTTAAACTGTGATCCCTAGTGGGGCGGGTATTCGCCAGCTCCAGGTATGAACACTCGACTGAGTAATATCCTTTGAGGTGTTTATAAACTTCTATTAAGTTACCCCATATCCGCCTTTAGTATAACATAGGAATTGCAGGCGTTCTAATCTCTCTGGGTACTTGGTAGCCCACTGGCCCTCCTTTGGACGTTTTCAATCAACTGAATTAACACTCGGACAGTCTCTAGCAGTGTTGCCCTTTTTAAATATCCATGCATGTTTACATTGAAAGACTGCATTTTCCGGTACATTTACAGCTTTTAACTGATACCTTTATGACAATAATTGACAGTGAGATATAGCTGTCCAAATGGGTTATAACACTGTGAAACTATACATGAACAAATAACCTCAGAAGCAGAGTGAAATGAGCAGAGGCACAGTAGTAGAATATGATGGTGAGACACAGTAATGTAAGTTGTCAAGAATGAAATAAAGTTTAATAATATAAGAGCTCATTATCCACTACTTACTCTCTTTGTATTGAAGAATATTTGGGTGTTTTTCACTTATCACCACACACCGAAAGCAAACATCATTTCTGAAAAAAAGTCCAATTTAACATTTGATTTAAATGGAAATACTGTACAGTAAACTGGCATCAACAATAAAAACCCAACAAATATGAAAAACACACACACACACACACACACACACACACACACACACGTACACACACACACACACACACACACACACTTACCCCACGAGGATTACAGATGATTTAGGTTAATAAAATAACATATTGGTCAAATAATCTTTGTTTAACTATGAGAGTTTTGTCGGTTCAATTACAAGTGGTGGCCACCAGTTCATTGCCTCTAAACACTCAGAGAACGGTGGTCTTATCCGCTTCCTCAACCAAGTTCTCAGTATTGTCTCACAAGTGATTTGTTTTTCTTAAATTTCCACAATGTTTGCTTAATAGGTTTCAAAAAGGTATCTCCTGGTGGTTGGTCAACGTGCTTTGTGGTGGAAAATTAAGCTGTAAAACAATTGTCCTATAAACCAAATAACGCACCATTAAAAGGTCACCATCATCTCCAGTATGCATATCTTTAGACTACCCACCAGAAACTCCCAGCGGAACAGCCATGAAAAGACGTTTGGGCAGTTGGAAATAAGAAACATTTCGCCAAACAAAACTAAGGAAACCTAACCTAAAGTTAATATTGTGACACCTAACCTGTCCAGTGAGTTTTTGTCTTGGTGAATTACTGTCCGTGCACCCGAGACAGTCACGCCCACCAGCAACACTTGAGTCCAATATTATTATCGGCTTTAGTGAGTAGCGGTAAAATTGATCAATATCTTCTCAATAATTCTGGTATCTGTCTTACTCTTCACACAAAATGTATATACTGGCGAAACTTGTGAAGAACTAAGGTAAAATAATGAAGGAATTAAGGATATAGAGTACGTCACACAAGACACCAATAATTCAAAGACAATTGAAATGGTCAGGCAATTATATTAATTTGCTTCATTATTTTGTATTCATTCATATTGTGTGTGTGTGTGTGTGTGTGTGTGTGTGTGTGTGCAGGGTAGTGTATTGCGTCAAGTGTGGTAGCATTATGTTAGTGTTAAGATGCAGGCACTACTTGTTTCCTCTCGCTTTCAGCTACCGCCGCTGGCTAGCCCTCGTGGTGAACAGGGAAGCAGCCTTGCGTAAGTCTTCCCCTGCCAGTACACACTCTCTTCATCATCAAGACTCCTGCTGTGCCTCCTCGTGGCAACGCACGGTAACTGGGTGCCTCGGAGCAGCAGTGAGCCCCAGAGGGACAGCGAATAGGCCCACTGGCATGTGAACACTGTCACGTCCTGGCGCCTACCAACCACTGCCCCACTGCCTTGAGGATTACCCTTGGTAGGTACAAGGCTACGAGAACAAACCCCGAACGAAAACTCTGCGGGGTGGAGTCCCGCATTAGGCAGACGTGCTCACAGAGCTCCAGTAAGGCCCCAACGGCGGTATAGGTGGAAGAGGTGACCAACATGGGAACCCAACGACTACACTGGCGGATGAAGATAGTACAAGATGGATAGACTACAAAGGCGAAACCTAACAAACTGGGTTATCGACAGTCCATTGCAACTCTTCCTCTCCCCAGTCGTTGTACCTACTTGCACCACTGGATCAGGAGAAGAGAGAGCCAATATGTGTGGTTGCAGCCTGCGCTCCTGCCATCATCCATCTCATCATACTTCTCATCATTATCAAAACCCATATAACCCCAAAAGCCCTATGGCGACAGACAAGTGGTGACGGAGACAGGCAGAGATGACTGCCGGAGATTACTGCCGGGAGTCTCTAGTCACAACTCTGTACATGGACGGCACAGATAAGATGGTCGTTTAGGCACTGGGATCTAGGCAGCAGTGCAATCCGGTCCTGCCTGTGCGACTGAGCAGTTCTTTCGAAGAGCCACTCTGTTCACCCCAAATGGGGAGGGGGCTAGAAAAGGTGCCCTAAGCATAGCCTGCCTAAAAAACAAAAAAAAACTGGGCAACCACACCAAGTAAGGTCATCCTAATGCTGTCGAAAACATAATCACAATCACAGATCAAAACAAAAACAAATTATATAACCTCTTATGGTTGCTGCATGGAATGTCAAGACCCTTCAGGATACTAGCACAAATGAACGTCCTGAAAGAAGAACCTCACTTATGACAAAAGAGCTGTCTTGGTATAACATCGACGTAGCATCCAATAGTGAGTCCCGGCTCTGAGACAAGGGTCGACTCACAGAACTGGGGTCTAGCTATACCTTCTTCTGGAAGGATAAGCCTGCTGCGGAGAAACCGCATTTATGGAGTTGGCTTTGCCATTCGCCAATTCATCCTGCGTAGGTTAACTGAAATGCCTGTTGGGATCAACGAGCGCCTCATGACGTTCCGAGTCTCACTGAATCACTCACGTCATGCCTTCTTCATCAGTGCATACACCCCAACACTGGATGCAGAGGATGACATCAAGGAGGCCTTTTACGCCGACCTTGGCAGAGTGCTAACCTCTATCCTAAGCGAAGATATGGTTGTGCTCCTAGGTAAAACTTTACTGATTGAAGTGTTGACCGTATGCAACACCTGTATATACTAGGAATATTATTATCTTGGGAGCTATCCAACATATTTATAGGTTACTGCAGTTATATTTTATAGCATCATTTCCATTGCACAGGACACACATGCAATTGTTGTATAAATTTTTAGCATATATTGTCATATAAACTATACTGCATCAAACTCTGACTTAGAATAATTTAATCATGTTTATCATGGGAAAAGTTATTATTTCACCCCTTATCATTCTACACCATAACAATACCCCGCTAACAGGCTCTCATCTTGGTGTTTCTTCTACACACACAATAAATCCTCCTCATACACACAATAAATCATCCTCACAGACACTATATATATATATATATATATATGACGTCACTTACTTGTCTTTAAAGAGAAACTTCTCCCCAGAGGAGCGGACACACACACCCTTGGAAGAGAACTCAGTCCTGGTGATAGAGATGATGTCCCTGACGCCACTCTGGAACCATCCTCCCCGCCACTGGTTTGGCAGCTCACACACCCCTGTAAACATCACTATCCTTAGCTTATGCCTTATTTACTTATCGGTTACCACAACTAATGGTGGCCATGTTATGGGCAATAGGGGGCCGGTGGCCTGTATAATCTACCCCCATTGTCTTTGATAATCATATTTAGTTATTTTGCAGCCTAGTACTGCTTCTTACATAGTGAATGACACTTGTAAATTTATGGGGCTACTTCTGAGGAAGAGTAAGATCGAAACACGTGTCGAGAGTAAGATTCCCAACACCTGCTTATGTTTGTGTTGCTGTCATTTTTCAATGTTCAAATGAGTCATTTCATTAATTTACCACAATACTGTAATAAAAACGAAATGTTGGCCTTCAACAATTATTAATAACGAGCCGTGTGTGTGTGTGTGTGTGTGTGTGTGTGTGTGTGTGTGTGTGTGTGTGTGTGATAGCGCACAGGGTGGTGTAATGTGTCTAGTGTGGCAGCATTCTGTTAGTGTTAAATAATCTGAAAGTTGTAAATTTTGGATGTTACTCACCATTGATGGACGTCACTAGAAGACCAAGGATAAGTAGGGGACATAACCAGCGGGAGTCTCGGCAAGTACGAGGGGCCTTCATCTTCAACCTGAGGGAAAAATAAAAAATTAAGATTATGCAAGTAGGCTTAGGCTTATACACGGTGAATCTCTCTCTATTTGCGTTTCCCCCAATCGCCTCTTGTGCGTCACAATCGGAGTAAATTATGTCATTCAAATCATCACAATTTCAAATCATATTGATACACTAGATATTGTCATCGACAGTATAAAATAATTATTTTTAGAAATGACTTTTGTAAGATCCGTTGACAAGCATGACCAAATCGGAAGGTGGCGGGTTATTGTTGAAAACATCTAAGAGAAGCTATTAAAAAAACCCACGCATTTTAAACTGTGATATATATTTTTGACTATCATAATATTGTATTTTAACGAAGTTTTTATAGAGGACTTAGAAATGAGGAACGTGTGAGGCTAAACTAATAACATTGGTGGGTGTTAACCAGACCTTGCGTATTTTATAGGCACTTATTGTATTAGTTGATGTATTTCAAAATTGAAAAGTGACAATACTGTGTTGAGAAAATTGAATCTAAACAGAAAAAAAATGCAGTTTGAAACATTTACAGTTAAGTGAAAAAGTGATATACTGAGGTGCAGAGAACTACCACTAGGCTCAGAAAACATAAACGCACAAATATCTCGTCCTGATGACAATGTTTCCTGCAGTAATATCAAATAAAATGGAGGACATACATAGATGTTTGTTTAAATTACCATTTATTAATAATCAATCATTAAACTGGCAGTGTCTGGAGACACTGTCAGCATGTACACAAGGTCTGGAGACACTGTCAGCATGTACACAAGGTCTGGAGACACTGTCAGCATGTACACAAGGTCTGGAGACACTGTCAGCATGTACACAAGGTCTGGAGACACTGCCAAGTGCCAATACTGTTTTCATGATCAGGCTCCATGAATATAACTAATAGGTTAGCCTTCAGAGAGGAGTATTCTAAGGTGATAATATTACTCAAGGAGTCCTTACAGTACATGATATTGGAAGATACCTAAAGTTACAGCAGATGGTTTACCCCTAATGAATAGCAATTGAGCAAAAGAAAAAAAAAGATCAGCCAGACGAACCCGAAATCATATATTTAAAACGAACGTGTCCATTTGTCTTAAAAGAAAAGTATTGACCAGCCCGAGTTATAGGTGTTGACTTATGGGCGTGAGACACCGCGAATGAATATGAAAACAGTACAGACGCTCCAGACTATTTGAGGAAACATAGCAAGATATACGACCAACATAATCTGAAGGAAAAAGAAAAAAAAAGTGAACGGATGAGATTTTCATAAAATAGTATGAGACCTTATGACAAATATTCGATAAGATTCAATGAGACAGGAAAATAAAAGGAAGAAATAACTAAGAAATTGAACAAAAAATATGGTTTCTAATGAACGAGTTGGTTCAAGACAACTGACCCTTCCATCCACCGCTAAATAACTGAGCTAATACAGTATCATGCTCCAAAATTCCAATACTGTACCACCATAGTCACATGGACTCCACACAAGGGAAGGATTGTGGAGGTGCCTTCTCGTCGTCACTAATTTTGTTTACAATAAACTGTTCTCCTGTAACAATTGCCCACTTGTGCGTCAGTAAGCAGCTGACGCTGAACACATTATATGTCATAGCTATGCTGTATGGAATAAATTTCCATTTTACAGGTTAGTTATTTATTAATGTGTTTTGTGGCTTACAGCAGGTTGTGAAGAAAACAATAGACTGATGTAAGGCTGAAGGTGCGTAATAACTGTACAGTTCATCCTCATTCTGGCCAACACAATTTCCTCTTTGCTGCTGGGTCTTGTGGCCAAGTCAGAGTTGTTGGCATTAAATTCATTTGAGAAATCCAAGTTGGTCCATTGACTTTGCCAAGAAACATATATATTAATTTCTTCCCCAAAGAAAGACAGGACCAAGCTCCAGAAGGATCTTGCAGACCACCTCCTGGTCTGCCTCTTCATAGTGTACAGGGGTAGATGTTACCTCCAGGTTGAGATGATACCACACACATACGATATGAGAGTCCGTAGTGATCACGAATTAATTTTATTACAAATATATTACAAACCCTACAGATTAAAACAAAATGTTTTAAAGAAAATACAAATTAATATGCAACTCAACCTCGAGGAATATTGAGGTATAACTCATATAACCTTCATGCAGCGGTGATGGTAGCTCACATGTTTTAAATACCTATAAATCGTTTTCAGCACTCACTGTAAACCACTTGTCTTAGCGCACGTTGTGAGGTGCGAGTTCCACTGTGTCATTCCTTGGCCAAAACCTAAAACATGGGGCGCAGCTGCCTTACGAGGCACTAGTCTGTAGTACAGTTTGACGGCCGGTTGGCTAGTGCGTAATACCTATGTACTGTTGCCCGCGGAACCATATTATGAAGCCTCAAGGGATTATTAGAAAATTGTGAATTATTTGGGATTCTTTTTAAGAGTGAAATTAATGAAAATTAATGATACAACTTTATAATTTGAGAGAGAGAGAGGGACTCCACCATAATGATTTTCATCTCTTTACACCCTTTCATTCTACACCACCATGAGTTACACCATTATAATCTACACCACCATAATTTACACCAGTGCTTCTCAACCTAATATACACTTCACGGCGCATTGTCAATGTTCTATCCTTGTGGCACACCATGTTAGCGTCTTGTACCGGTAACACTCACTTATAGGAGGAAAATCAGTGACGCAAAACCGTTCAAATACAAACAAACAAACAAATACACACACAAATAAATATGTCTTGCCAAACAATAACTGCCTAACACTAACATAGCGCGCAAAACAATTCTCCCACTTAATTTACGCCTGGATTCTCAGTGTAAATGAGAACAGTTAGAGTTGAGGTAATGTTGGATGTGAATGTACAAACAAATATTTGTGTTTACCTACTATTTCATTAACTCTCAGTTAGAGTAGTATACGCTTAGGACAACGATATGGTTATAAAATATATTTTCATATAATACAAACTACAATTACTTGAACTTAAGACAGTGCAATATTTGTTTAATTTCTCCTAACATGACTGTACCGCGGAACACCAGGGACTCTCGCTGTACACTGGATGCAAAAAGCTGAATTTAAATATGTCCTTATTGCCTTGAATTACAATTTCTGGAAAGCACAGTATTGGTTATGCTATCGAGGTCTTTTAGTTTATGGTTCCCATCCCAGTAACTAAGAAGCCTTTTGGAATTTACAGCACCTTCCTGCACCTTAATGAATTACACTACTTGTCGTTCACACCACCTTTGTTTACATTACCAATTTACATCGTCGTTTTCTACCTCTATAACCAGTGGTCTCTAAAGCTTTCATCTTGCCGTGGTTTATACACTCGTGGTTTACAGTTCTTATACCTCTGTAATCTATAATAATTGTTTTTCACGGCAGCTTTGTTTCTCTTGGATATACTGTACCATCGAGTCTGTGAACCTTTAGATATTATTTTCGTTATCAGAATACTAGTGTCATATACAACTTATTGATCTCTACCACGCGGGCACACAGCTCCACCACCGTCTTACACCGTCATAACTAATACCACAGTGGTCCTTACACCTCGTGGTCTGTAAGCTCAATAGTGTACTCTAATATTCTATATCAATGGACTAAGGTATTAATTTAGCGTGGAAGTACATTTTAACTAATTATATTATTAGTAGTTGTTTTGAGTATAAACTAACATTTTGTTTTCGGCCTTTAAGAATTTAGCAATTTAAAATTTGTTACTTCAATACAAAAAAACAAAACATCAAATTTATAACTATTGAAACATGTTAATACTTTACAACAACATACCGACCAGTAAAACTTTTATTCTCCATTTGGTTACTGTAAGCTCCACCTCTTACTCTGGTTTGTAATCTTTGTGATCTACAGTGATTAAAATCCATTTTTATTTCCCACTGATCTACGTTCACTCTATCATAGTCTATCCTCTCAGGCTTGTCTCCGCCGTTTTCTGAATCTTACAAGTGTGTCTCAGGGTGGAAGACCATCGTCCAATATCTGTTATCAAACTGGTTCTCGTTCTGTTGTGTTACTGTACATCAGAGTAATGTAGTTTGCATACTATTACTGTATATATATATACAGTCAGTAACCCCTCCTACCTTAACTAACACCTCTGTGATATATTTAGTCCTCATTATCTGTTTCTTGAAGTCTCCATGTTCGTCATCTAAGCGCAATTTTCGGAAATATGTATCATACACGCTGACGTCAGCATTATATCCCGCTCTCTCCTCTTTTACAGTGTACCCGCACTTTTCACCTGACCATTTCGTCGTCTCCAATACGTGTACCCTGTCCCGTCCCCCCCTCACCCCCCCACCGACATTATCCTCTCCTCCCCCTCCTCTCTCCGCTCTTCTCCAAAAAATGTAGTCCGAGACAAAAGCAATTTACCTCTTTCTCTCTTCCAGTGAAATTGGGTCTTGACTCAGGAATCAATATACTGCAGAAGAGGCTACAGGGCCAGCTGCTGAGCCGTCTTACGAACAGTACGTACTGCTGTAGCTGCTCACCGACTCTCCGTTTTACTCTGATTCATGAAGTTAATAACGCACTGTACTTATTTCCTTCATTTTTAAAACGTTTTCATTACTATTATCTCGAACACATACGATAATGTCCGCCTGAACGGTAGCACACACAATATTATTTCTGGCATTCTATGATTTTTATTATATGCAGAATTTGAGTTTATATGCATCATTAAAAGCATGCAGTCGTGTTTATCATCAAGTACTGTACATATTTATAAGTATTAAGGTGTTGTTGTTGTTGATCAGAGTGGTGGGGATGACGGTGAGTGGAAATACTGTATAAATTTGTCTATTGCAAGTTGTTTGAAAGAGTGTCATTTTTAAGCACCCAAACATAGATTTAATTTTTTATGTAAAGTCTACCGAAAAAAAAAATATATATATCTTGACCTTCTCGTTAAACTGTAAGATACTGCACC